ACGACGATTTCAATGTGTAAAAAGAATGCCCATTAAATTTCAAATATTTTTCAATTTTTTATTTACACTCGTTCCGATACGAGGATTTCAATATGTAAAAAGAATGCCTATTAAATTAAAAATATTGTCAATTATAAATATATACACACGTTCCGATACGAGGATTTCATTTTTAAAAAAGGGTGCCTATGAAAATAAAAATGTTTTTTAATACTAAATATTTACACTCGTTCCGATACGAGGATTTCATTTTTAAAAAAGAGTGCCTATGAAATTAAAAATGTTTTTTAATACTAAATATTTACACTCGTTCCGATACGAGGATTTCATTTTTAAAAAAGAGTGCCTATGAAAATAAAAATGTTTTTCAATATTAAATATTTACCCTCGTTCCGATACGAGAATTTCTTTTCTAAAAGAGTGCATATTAATTTAAAATATTTTTCAATTTTTTATTTACACTCGTTTCGATACGAGGATTTCAATATGTAAAAAGAATGCCCAATAAATTAAAAATATTTGTAATTATAAATATTTACACTCGTTCCGATACGAGGATTTCATTTTTAAAAAAGAGTGCCTATGAAATTAAAAATGTTTTTTAATACTAAATATTTACCCTCGTTCCGATACGACGATTTCAATGTGTAAAAAGAATGCCCATTAAATTTCAAATATTTTTCAATTTTTTATTTACACTCGTTCCGATACGAGGATTTCAATATGTAAAAAGAATGCCTATTAAATTAAAAATATTGTCAATTATAAATATATACACACGTTCCGATACGAGGATTTCATTTTTAAAAAAGGGTGCCTATGAAAATAAAAATGTTTTTTAATACTAAATATTTACACTCTTTCCGATACGAGGATTTCTTTTCAAAAAGAGTGCATAAGAATTTAAAATATTTTTCAATTTTTTATTTACACTCGTTTCGATACGAGGATTTCAATATGTAAAAAGAATGCCCAATAAATTAAAAATATTTGTAATTATAAATATTTACACTCGTTCCGATACGAGGATTTCATTTTTAAAAAAGAGTGCCTACGAAAATAAAAATGTTTTTCAATACTAAATAATTACCTTTCTTCCGATACGAGGATTTCTTTTCAAAAAGAGTGCATATGAATTTAAAAAATTTTTCAATTTTATATTTACACTCGTTTCGATACGAGGATTTCAATATGTAAAAAGAATGCCCAATAAATAAAAATATTTGTAATTATAAATATTTACACTCGTTCCGATACGAGGATTTCATTTTTAAAAAAGAGTGCCTATGAAATTAAAAATGTTTTTTAATACTAAATATTTACTCTCGTTCCGATACGAGGATTTCATTTTTAAAAAAGAGTGCCTACGAAAATAAAAATGTTTTTCAATACTAAATAATTACCTTTCTTCCGATACGAGGATTTCTTTTCAAAAAGAGTGCATAAGAATTTAAAATATTTTTCAATTTTTTATTTACACTCGTTTCGATACGAGGATTTCAATATGTAAAAAGAATGCCCAATAAATTAAAAATATTTGTAATTATAAATATTTACACTCGTTCCGATACGAGGATTTCATTTTTAAAAAAGAGTGCCTATGAAAATAAAAATGTTTTTCAATACTAAATATTTACCCTCGTTCCGATACGAGAATTTCTTTTCTAAAAGAGTGCATATTAATTTAAAATATTTTTCAATTTTTTATTTACACTCGTTCCGATACGAGGATTTCAATATGTAAAAAGAATGCCCATTAAATTAAAAATATTTGTCAATTATAAATATTTACACTCGTTCGGATACGAGGATTTCATTTTTAAAAAAGAGTGCCTATGAAAATAAAAATGTTTTTAATACTAAATATTTACCCTCGTTTCTATACGAGGATTTCATTTTTAAAAAAGAGTGCATATGAATTAAAAAATTTTTCAATTTTATATTTACACTCGTTTCGATACGAGGATTTCATTTTTAAAAAAGAGTGCCTATGAAAATAATAATGTTTTTTAATACTAAATATTTACACTCGTTCCGATACGAGGATTTCATTTTTAAAAAAGAGTGCCTATGAAAATAAAAATGTTTTTCAATACTAAATATTTACCCTCGTTCCGATACGAGAATTTCTTTTCTAAAAGAGTGCATATTAATTTAAAATATTTTTCAATTTTTTATTTACACTCGTTCCGATACGAGGATTTCAATATGTAAAAAGAATGCCCATTAAATTAAAAATATTTGTCAATTATAAATATTTACACTCGTTCCGATACGAGGATTTCATTTTTAAAAAAGAGTGCCTATGAAAATAAAAATGTTTTTCAATACTAAATATTTACCCTCGTTCCGATACGAGAATTTCTTTTCTAAAAGAGTGCATATTAATTTAAAATATTTTTCAATTTTTTATTTACACTCGTTTCGATACGAGGATTTCAATATGTAAAAAGAATGCCCAATAAATTAAAAATATTTGTAATTATAAATATTTACACTCGTTCCGATACGAGGATTTCATTTTTAAAAAAGAGTGCCTATGAAATTAAAAATGTTTTTTAATACTAAATATTTACCCTCGTTCCGATACGACGATTTCAATGTGTAAAAAGAATGCCCATTAAATTTCAAATATTTTTCAATTTTTTATTTACACTCGTTCCGATACGAGGATTTCAATATGTAAAAAGAATGCCTATTAAATTAAAAATATTGTCAATTATAAATATATACACACGTTCCGATACGAGGATTTCATTTTTAAAAAAGGGTGCCTATGAAAATAAAAATGTTTTTTAATACTAAATATTTACACTCTTTCCGATACGAGGATTTCTTTTCAAAAAGAGTGCATAAGAATTTAAAATATTTTTCAATTTTTTATTTACACTCGTTTCGATACGAGGATTTCAATATGTAAAAAGAATGCCCAATAAATTAAAAATATTTGTAATTATAAATATTTACACTCGTTCCGATACGAGGATTTCATTTTTAAAAAAGAGTGCCTACGAAAATAAAAATGTTTTTCAATACTAAATAATTACCTTTCTTCCGATACGAGGATTTCTTATCAAAAAGAGTGCATATGAATTTAAAAAATTTATCAATTTTATATTTACACTCGTTTCGATACGAGGATTTCAATATGTAAAAAGAATGCCCAATAAATTAAAAATATTTGTAATTATAAATATTTACACTCGTTCCGATACGAGGATTTCATTTTTAAAAAAGAGTGCCTATGAAATTAAAAATGTTTTTTAATACTAAATATTTACACTCGTTCCGATACGAGGATTTCATTTTTAAAAAAGAGTGCCTATGAAAATAAAAATGTTTTTCAATACTAAATATTTACCCTCGTTCCGATACGAGAATTTCTTTTCTAAAAGAGTGCATATTAATTTAAAATATTTTTCAATTTTTTATTTACACTCGTTCCGATACGAGGATTTCAATATGTAAAAAGAATGCCCATTAAATTAAAAATATTTGTCAATTATAAATATTTACACTCGTTCCGATACGAGGATTTCATTTTTAAAAAAGAGTGCCTATGAAAATAAAAATGTTTTTCAATACTAAATATTTACCCTCGTTCCGATACGAGAATTTCTTTTCTAAAAGAGTGCATATTAATTTAAAATATTTTTCAATTTTTTATTTACACTCGTTTCGATACGAGGATTTCAATATGTAAAAATAATGCCCAATAAATTAAAAATATTTGTAATTATAAATATTTACACTCGTTCCGATACGAGGATTTCAATATGTAAAAAGAATGCCTATTAAATTAAAAATATTGTCAATTATAAATATATACACTCTTTCCGATACGAGGATTTCTTTTCAAAAAGAGTGCATAAGAATTTAAAATATTTTTCAATTTTTTATTTACACTCGTTTCGATACGAGGATTTCAATATGTAAAAAGAATGCCCAATAAATTAAAAATATTTGTAATTATAAATATTTACACTCGTTCCGATACGAGGATTTCATTTTTAAAAAAGAGTGCCTACGAAAATAAAAATGTTTTTCAATACTAAATAATTACCTTTCTTCCGATACGAGGATTTCTTTTCAAAAAGAGTGCATATGAATTTAAAAAATTTTTCAATTTTATATTTACACTCGTTTCGATACGAGGATTTCAATATGTAAAAAGAATGCCCAATAAATTAAAAATATTTGTAATTATAAATATTTACACTCGTTCCGATACGAGGATTTCATTTTTAAAAAGAGTGCCTATGAAATTAAAAATGTTTTTTAATACTAAATATTTACTCCGTCCGATACGACGATTTCAATGTGTAAAAAGAATGCCCATTAAATTTCAAATATTTTTCAATTTTTTATTTACACTCGTTCCGATACGAGGATTTCAATATGTAAAAAAAGCCTATTAAATTAAAAATATTGTCAATTATAAATATTTACACACTTCCGATACGAGTTTCATTTTTAAAAAAGGGCCTAATGAAAATAAAAATGTTTTTTAATACTAATATTACACTCGTTCCGATACGAGGATTTCTTTTCAAAAAGAGTGCATAAGTGTATGGTTGCCATCGGGGTTGGTTAGGGTTTAGTTGCCATTGAGGAATCTGAACTTTATAAATTTTTTTAACTTATAGGATGTTGACCTCCATGTTGGTTTCCTGTTATTTTGGGTTTTATCTGAAAAATAAATTATTTGTAGGATTTATAGACTAAAACGGTTTTAGCTGTAATCTAGAAAAAATATACACTTGAATGTGTAAGCGCTTAATTATAAAAAATCTTACATTTCGAGTTCATTACATCAGTAGACTTTTGCTGATGGACTCTGGTAGTTTCTTCATCTGCCTCTTTTTGTTTTATCTGAAATTTTTATTCCAGTTATTGAAATATAGGAGATCGCGGATTGTCAAAGTTGATTAATCCTAAATTTAAAATGAAAAAAAGTGTATACACTTGCAAAAATAAATGATCGATTTTAAAAAAAATTATTACTTTCCGTTTTCTGCAGCTATAAGCTCCTGTTGACTTGTCAATTGCTGATTAATCTCGCTTCCATTGGAGTTTTCTTCATTTTCATCTGTTTCCTTCTCTAAATTTTACAATGAGAATTTAAAAATTGAAATTAGAATAAAAAATGTATATTTATAATGTACCTGTATCTTCGCCGATTACCATTCCCAGATTGTCAAAGTTGATTAATCCTAAATTTAGAAATAAAAATAAGTGTATACACTTGCAAAAATAAATGATCGATTTAAAAAAAATTATTACTTTCCGAGTTTTCTGCAGCTATAAGCTCCTGTTGACTTGTCAATTGCTGATTAATCTCGCTTCCATTGGAGTTTTCTTCATTTTCATCTGTTTCCTTCTCTGAAATTTACAATGAGAATTTAAAAATTGAAATTTAGAATAAAAAATGTATATTTATAATGTACCTGTATTTTCATCAATTATCATTTCCAGATTATCAAAGTTGATAATTCCTAAAGTTAGAATTGGAAATAAGTGAACGGTTTACGGTGAATCTCCGGAACCAGGTAATGTAGACAATGTCAAGTCAGTCAATTCCGACAATGTTCCCCCACAGCACCGGATATTTAAGGATATCCCTGAGACATCCTGGGGATATCCATTGCCTTGCGGCGGTTTGGATATCCCTGGGATATGCCAGGGATGTCCCAGGATATCCTCAGGATGTCCGAGGGATATCCAAACCGCCGCAAGGCAATGGATATCCCCAGGATGTTCTAGGGATATCCTTAAATATCCGGTGCTGTGAGGGTTGATATTAACCGGCCATTGTTTACAACTACAGATTCTGGAGATTCACTATTAAATATGCATTATAATATAATAATAGTAATAATTGATTTTTTATTACTCACTGCGAATCTCATTATTAAATGTAATTTGGTTGACGTTTATCGCATCTTCTGATAGAAAGCCGTTCTCTGGATCAGTTGTTATAGCTGAAATATTATGAAAAGATAAATTTCTAAAGAATTTTTATGCTCGATGTAAGTAAATGTATATGTCATTGTTAATTTAAAAGGGGTTTATCAGCCGAAAATAAGTTTTTTAGAAAACTACATTCAATAGATCTGTTATTACTCACTATCAATGTAACTGTCTACAGAAATTTGGCTCAGGTGTAACGCATCTATTGGTAGAAAAACGTCGGTTGGATCAGATATTATATCTGAAATATTACGAAATTAAAAATAAATTTTTATACACGACATACGTAAATGTAATGTGATTGGTCTTGGTCAGTAAAAAAGGACTTATCATCCAAAAATAATATTTCTAAAAAATAGCAGTATATACGGCTTGAAACTCATTTTTTATACTTTCAAGGTCGTTGATTACGATTCCGAAAACCCTTCAGTAACGAATTTTAAGTTACTCATTTTCACGTGCAGCAAAAAGGATTATTCAAAATGAGTAGCGTACGCAAATAATTTTGAGTTGTATGCTATTCATTTTGAGTTCAGTTTTTTTCTGTGAAGGTACTATAAACAGGATCCTTTACAAAATTCCAGGTGTCTTTTGAAAAATGGAATAAGCTGCCGTCAAGATTAAATACATAGGATTGTAAGATTTTGTATGGGATCGTTTATAGAATTCTACATAGGATTTATGTATAATATATAGAATTCTATATAGAATCCTACATATGATCCTATATGGGAGAGATTGTTATTAATAATTATTACTTATTATTGTTTATAATAATAAAGTAAATTGTTTGAGTTAGTACTCTTATATTTTAATTAATTAATTAACAGTAATTAACAAAAATTATTTTTAACCTTCGCCAGACAGGATACTTTTTATATACACGGTTGACAAGATCCCACCCAGGGTGGGCCAAATGTTTTCTTCTTTGTATATTGCAATAAAAACTTAGAATCATTCAGTTTTTTTCCAAAATTGTTATATGTCACCAAATAATATATTTTATTAATGTTTTGTTGATTTTTTATATGTTTAAACAATTTATTATTAATAATTTATAACTTTTTCAAATATACATACGACAGTAGAAGAATTTTATAAATTTGTTACCTTTTCTTCGTAGTTATTAATTCAAAGGTTATAAATAAAATAAAATATATAATTCAATTTGCAACAACTATTATTATAAATTGTTTAAACAAATAATTGTTGCTATTTATTAACATTCTTCATAATATTCCTAGAAAATTGCAATTTTTTTCTAATTTTGCATCTTAACAAGCTCAACATAATAAACATGAAGATTTTATATGAATTTAGTATTCAAACGATTGTTTAAACAATTGTTGAATTTACAATTTTACATCAAATCTATCTTTTATTATATTCGGCTTAATGAGTTGCAAAATTTGAAAAAAACTACATCATTCTAGGTCCGCAGAAAAAAGTAAGTAATTAACAATATTTATTTGTTTAAACAATTGTTGAATTAATAATTTTACTTCAAATCTATCTTTTATTTATTCGGCTTGATAAATTGCAAAATTAGAAAAAAACTGCATCTTTCTAGGTGCAGAACAAAGAAAGTTAGTAAATAATAACAATAATTGTTTAAACAATTGTTGAATTAATAATTTTACATCAAATCTATCTTTTATTATATTCCGCTTGATAAATTGCAAAATTAGAAAAAAACTGCATCCTTCTAGGTGCAGAACAAAGAAAGTTAATAAATAATAACAATAAATTGTTTAAACAAATGAAAAATGCAATATAATATTTTTTATATCTATTATTTGACATCATAAAACACTCACAGTGAAAAGTCTGCATGATTTGAAGTCTTTTTGTAAAATAGAATTAAAAAAATATCTGAATCATCCCGGTTATCTCCGTACATACATTGATAAAAGTTATAAATAATCAAGAAGAAATTTTTTTTTTAAATTTGTTTTTACATTTTTTGAAAGTTCTTAAGATTTTGTTCAGTGACTTAAAATCGCGATTCAATTAAGGCAAAACTTTAGAAGATATGGCAATTTCAATTTGTCTGGCCCACCCTGGGTGGGCATCTTGTCAAGCGAAGGTTAAGAATTATCCTACATAAGATCATAATGTATAGAATCCTATAATGAATTGTCAAAATAAATAACCCATATAAGTTTTCATGTTGGATCCCGCAAAGATCTTGCATAATATTCATCATATTGGTGACCTTTAAGCCAGCTTATTTTATTTCTCCTATAGAAGGTGCCCATAAGTTTTATTATAGAATCATGTATAGGATACTTTATATAGTACTTTTTACGACACTTATGAGGAATCCTTAATGATTTTTGAGTGCGATACTGATCAAAAAATACGTTCGGAAAATATTAAATTCATGCTTCTGCATTTTCAAAATTTAATCGTACAAAAATGAAAATCAATCAATGATAGGTCATATTTTACTGTCCAGATCATTATGTCATATTTGTAAGAGTTAAATTTTACCAGAGGGGATAGTAATTTCCGCTACAATGACACCTGAAATAAAAAGTAAAAATTAACGTTAATATTTTTATATACCTACAAGTAAAATTAATTACAATTAAAATTAATTAATTAATTAATCTATTGATCTGAATTTGTTGGGTTCAAATTCTAATGTATTTTTAATCAATTTTATTTTTACAATTTATTTTTAATTTTATATCACAAATAATAATTTTTTATTAGCTGATTTTTTTGGTTTAAAATTATAATTAATAATGTTATATTAATTTGATAAGGGTTGTGAGAGCTGCCAAAACGTTATTTAATAATTAAAAATAAATTGTTAAAAGTAATTGTGGAAAAAATGGGTTATAATTTTAATTTATATGAATATGTTTTGTTTTAGTTTATTGAAATATATATACTTCCACTCTATATTTTAAAATATGTACTTAAAATATAACAAGTATTACGTTAATTATTGATGCATTTATTGTATTTTATGAAAATATTGACTTCATCTTACTTTGTTACAAAAAAATAAATGTAAGTAAAAAAAAATTTTAAATGTAGGTGTAAGAAGTGATAAGGAATTTAATTACTTAATTTTTTTTTAAATCGTGTAAGACCTGTAAAGTGATTTTGATTTAAAAGATTCATTCTTCCCTACTGTGTTAAAGATATGTAGGAATGTAATACCTTCCGCCTCTTCTGCGTCTTCCATTTCTTTTGTTTGCGTCTCTGGTGTTGCTTCGACGTTACTCTCTTCAATTTCAGCGGGAGAATCTACATTTATTCTTCTAAGTCTTGCCAACGGTGGAACTAGAAATTTTGAGCAATGTTATTTAATTTCAAAGTGAAAAAACTATAATTGAGTGCACGGAAAGCATAACCGACGCTGCGTTCGGACTCAGGGGGAACGCAGCGTCGGTTATGCTTTCCGTTGACTCAATTATGTTACTTATTTTCAGTTATTGGAATAGTTTTTAAGATAAATTGAAAAAAACTTACGTTTTGTGGGTTTGAAAATTTTGTTTACTTTATCATGCATTATTTTAAATGCTGCTTTGGCTGTCAACCTAAATTATTAACTACGTTATTGAAACTAACTTTCATATAGAAATTGATTATATTTGTAAACATATTCCTACCTAGGGACATTTTGCAATTTATGAATCGTATCTTCCATAATTTTGCAAAATTCAGATTTGGTCTTAGTTTTTTGTCGCTCTGTTAGTAAATCATCAAGATTTTCTGTAATCATTATGAACATAATATCAAGTTCTACAATGAAAAAGTTTGTTTTAATTGTTGTAAAATTCGAATAACTGAGAATCAATGCCAATATTGGCACTATATTGGAACGAGGTACATGTACGTTAGTGCTGGATCAATTACTTTTGCATTTTTTTGGCAGACATTACTGCGCTAATATTGGGCCAAGATAGCAATCCTGTCATTTCAAACATTCTTTGATTTTGCTTTAAATTCATTTACAATAATAATTCAAAATGAACTAAAATGTATTTAAACCCAAGCAAAAATTTATGTCAAATGCCAATATTGACAGTATCATTTCAATAATGACATGGATTAAATTTTATACTGTGCCAATACTGCAAGTCAATACTGTGCCGGTATTGTAAATACTGTAATGGCAAACCAATATTATAAAAACTCTTTTTTAAAAAAAATACATAATTTATTAAGTTTTTAAACTATTTTGCTTACACTGAAAAAAATATATTTGAAACAAATAAACTGTACTTTAAGCAATAATTACGGCAATTCGAACAATTACCATTTAATGGAAGTAGGGGAGAGTGGGGCGAAACCGGGTACCTCTTTGGAATTATCGGTTTACAAAGAATCTATCAAATAAATTAGTTCAAATCTCGTTGAAAATTCTTCCTTGAACATTAAAGAATGAGAAAATAATGTCGATTGCATGAAAAAAATTTTTGATCAATTTAAACCAGGTTTTTTAAAAAAATGCAAAGTACCCGACTGATGCCATTACTAACAACTAGTAACGGCGACCGTTATTATTCCAAATATATCCAAGTATTGGTTCTATATTGGCGACCAGTACTCTGCCAGTACAGGCGCAGCACTTATACGGTTATAAATTTTTGATTGGGAAGTGGAATTTATTTTGAAATAAAATGAAATCAAAGGGAATTAAATTTACATTAAATATATATATATAAGATTTTGATAAATATTCTAATTATTTATAAATACCAACTAATTGTCCAGGTGATTTGCTCTTTTTGACTAAATCAAATTGTTTTTCCGAAATTTGAAAGACATTGTTATAAGTTGGTAAAGTTTTATCAACGATGCTAATTTTTGATCCCATTTTTGAAATTATTTGCATCACCTCGTGAGCAAAATTTTTACATTCCTCATTTTTTGCAGCAAGGAGTGCAAACTCTGAATGAGCATCCAAAATAAATTGAACAGGCACTAAGGAAATAACATACGCGGCACATAAAATTTCTGTCGTATCTTTTGATAAATTATTTCTGAGCCAAATCTCTTTCATGACCTAAATAAAATATTGTTTCTGTTAAATTAGAATTATTTTATAATGTTTACAAATAATCAAATTGTAGACTCATTAAAACGGCATATACCCAACCAAAAATTTCAGAATTATACCAGAGTTCACTACTGGTGGAGAACTGGTTCAGTATTGGCTGCCGATGCTAAGCAGTCTGTACTGAACCAGTACTGATATTTTAATTGTAGCAGTACTGTTGCAGTACAAACCTCCCAGTACTGGCAAACTAGTACTGAGCCGATATTGAGCCAGTACTGGCTCAAATAGATTTTCTTTTTGATTAATACTAGTTTACATAAAGTTGTAGAGTGAACCTGATAAATCTTTTTGTTTAAATATTTTGTTTATAAAAATTTGTTCACCTTGATTTTATTTTTCAAAATTAAAAAGTATATTTCATTTTGTTTTTCTGTGGGTAAAATTATTTAAACAAAAAGTTTCCTGAGACCAATTCCAAAACATTTTGTAAGATTGTCTTATTGTTTTCAGATATGCAATAAACCAAAAAAAAATTTTAAACGATCAAACTAAAAATAAATAAATTTGTTCATAAAAATTAATATTTTTTAAAATAAAAATTTTAAAAAATTTTCTTGGCAACACTTGTTAAAAATAAAAAAAACAACTTTTATTTTCTTAAAAAAGTTTTTCAAAAATTCATTTTGATGCAAATATATGTGATTAAAAATAGATATTATACTTTAGAAAAAAACTGAAATTTATAAACCTACAAAAAATTACGTATACTTTTTTTTCTTAAAAAAATAAAAAAAAATATTTATGTTTTGTTTTATGTAAATTGAATTGAATTTAATGTTAATTAATTTATTTATTATATTTTATTGATTATTTTTTATTATTGTATATTTATTTATAAAATTCTTGGTATTTTCGACTTTTTTATAATAAAATATTAATTTGTTAGTTGATTAATTTAATTAATATTTAATTTGTGTTGGGTTACTAAAAATTTATGACACTTTTTCCTAAGTATACTAAAAAAGTATTATCCGGAGCAGAGATTTCACTATTGCAGTGAAACTTATCTCTGTTACAGTTAAAACTTTCTTTTCGTATACAATAAATTAAAAAACTGCCAGTACTGGCCCAGTATTACTTGTCAGTAATATAACAGTACTGATTTTAATACAATAATACAAAAATTTAATACTGAACCAGTAGTGGTTACGAGTACTAGTGCCAACTCTGGTAGCCAATACTGGTAAAATATTATCATCCCAAAGTTACGCCAACTCTGGCGCCAATACTGGGTGCCAGTACTGCGCCAAAAGTAAATTTTTTATTGGGTACCTGTCGAAAGTGATACCAGCTGCATTCGTATTCTGCATTTCGAAAAACTTGTTGGCAACTGATTTTTAAATCAGAATCAAAAGATCCAATAATTAATTTTACATTTCTTATGCATGGGACTGATACGATTTCATTTAATATTTGATTTCTGACAGCCATAGTTACTGAGACGGTTATAACTGCACAAAATGTTATAAATGCCTTAAAAATAAAAAATACATTTTCATTAAAAAAGTAATATATTAAATTAATAATGTATTGAATATGTAATATGTTTCACACGCATATTTTTTCCGTGTACATTATTTTCAAAGAAAATGTAGTATCAATAATGTAAATATTGTAACTGGTTAAACGTTAAAAATGCATACCTTTCCTCCATCTTCAACAATAAAATTAATAAAACTTGCTTCAAACTTCTCAAAACTCAACTGCAAAATATTTATTAAATAATTTTAGAAATTCTTAACTATTAATATGATACTTTAGAAACATAAAGATTTGACTCATCATAATAATTTTTTATTTATGCCAAATAAAAAATGTAATTTACTACGAATGTATTTTATCTTAAGTAAATATAATTTATTTCAAAGGAATAAATACTTTTTAGGTTATTAGATAAATATATATTTTTCTTTGAGTGTAATACTACACCATTTTTGTAAATTTAACCTAAGCATAATAATAAAATTTGAAATGTAAAATAAATTTAATATCCTGTAATAAAGCCAATATCTCTTTATAAATAATCAAATGTTAAAATAACCTGAAAGGAATCATCGATGTATAAAATGTTGATATCATTTTTAATCGGATTAATTTTAAGAATTTCCACCCCTGGTGCCACTGATTTATAATGGTTTTGTCCTTTCTTCAGTAATTTGAAAAATTGCGTGCTTGTCTTAACTTGTTCATATTTCTCCATTTTTGCCTTTAACATTCTTGGTCTCAAACCGTTAAAAGACAATATTACTTTTTCCCTAAATTGAATAATTTAAAATATATTACCTTATATCTGTATGCAACCGAAGGTTGAAATATTCAAAGAAACATAATTAAAATAACAGCTTCATGAAATTTTTTTTCAAAAAATGTTTTTTAAAAAAAAAATTTATAAAATTGACGTATTTTCAGAAATCCTTATCTAATTTAATATATTTATGACTGCAATAAGCATACAAAATTGTAAACCAATCCGTGAAAATATTTTTTTTGAATAATGTGGTAACAAGAATAATAATAATGATAATAATAAATTAACCTGCTTTTGTAATTTAACAAGAAATCGCCCTGAAAGCCGATTGAAGTTTGGAAACAATATTTTTTTCTTAGTATCGAACGAAAATTTGTTTTTTATATGTTTTTCAAGTCACATGAACTTTTCATTAATATCAAGAAATAAGGAGGAGATGGTAAACGTCATAATTGAAAATAATAAACATTGGGAAAAAGAAAACTGAACATAGTTCTTAATCACTTGAAATGAGTTGATAGTCACTTCATTCAAGCCGGTTTTATTATTTTTTAAATGATTTTGAAAAATTAATGATGTGATAAAAATGGTTGATTGTGAAAAAAAATTTATTGTATGAATTTGTATTACTAATTTAATAAATTTAAATTTTTCAAATTTAAAAAATGTCAAAAGTTTTTATGGTAATTCTTCGAAAATTTAATTATTTTTATATGCAATTTATATTTCGTTAATGAGGAAGTTTAACCTAAAGTTGCTCTTCTCAAAATTAACTTATGTATCAATATTTAAATTAAAATTTTTCAAAAATTGTCATAAAATTCTTTAAAACCATTCATTATTATTTTTAATGCAATTTTACGAAATTTTAATTGTTAAATATTTTTCAAATTAATATTTTCAAAAATTCAACCACCTTCAGAAAAATTTGAATTGCAATTTTTCAAAAATATTTTTTTTCAGAATTAAAAAACATACGTAAATTCAAATTCTCAAACATTATTTTTTTCAAGATTTATAAAGTTCGCTATAAGCCAAAAATAAGAATTTTGTTTCCATTTTCAGAAATATGAAATTTTTTACGTAATTTTGATAAAAGTCTTTGAATTTTCTCTGATTTCCCTGACTAATTTCACTGTTTCTAACTTTCATGGTACAAATATTAAATTATTGATAAATAAAAATATATTAATTAATTTAGTAATCTTTTCCACCTAATGGTTTT